CCCCCCCCCCCCCCCCCAAAAAAAAACGTGTTAAAATCATTATCAATTACTTATGGATGTGATTTTGAAATAATGAAAACATGCCAAAAATATGCTAGCTTTTAGAAAAGATGCTGTAAAGTTGCTCACCCTCCGAACAGTTGCTCAGAATCGAATAAGTTGCTCAAAATTGTAAAAGTTGCGCAAACGTTGCCGAGCAGAATCTGTCTAGGCCTATCGGAGATCATTTCACAAACGTCAATTAAATTTCGAAATTTTTTTTTTTTTTTTTTATCCAAGGCAAAACTAAAACAAAACTTGAATTAACACGATGTCTTTTGAAGTCACGATTCGTTTGTTTTNCATTTCACAAACGTCAATTAAATTTCGAAAATTTTTTTTTTTTTTTTTTTTTTTTTTTTTTCAACGGTTAGTATGCTCGGCGACATTTTGTCTAAAAAACACCAACTAATTGATTAACTAATGCGTTCCAAAACCTCCTTTTTACACCCTAAGAAAGACGACAAGCATCTCCTGTTCCTTCGGTCCGCCTGGCTCAGGGGACAAGAAGGAGTATTTTTTTCGAGTCTACTATGACGCAGGTAAACCTATCTAAATCGATATTCAGTGGTGTCAATTACGTCTCTTCCACTTCCCCTCTGCACTACACCTGATACAATAAGTGACCAAACAGGAAGTGTTAAACGTCCAGGTAATATTCGGAGGCCAATTGAGCCATTTGAACCCATAAGGAAACGTTAAAGCCAAAACCATTTCCTCGAATGCTTGTAACACAAGGTCTTCGTGTGAAGACGTCTAGTGATGAGTTATGGTATGTGAACTTTTGCTCTGCACGTACAAGTTTTGTTTAACAAATTGACGTTATTTTCTATGCGTTTATCCTGTTATTGAACATGTCATAACATTGTAGAAGTAGCTGTGGCCGGTCCACGAGGCGATAGCCGCCTTATCCGTAGACTACTTTGACAATGTTGTGAAGAAGTTCATTGTCAATAACAGGACAGACGCATGAAAAACTGACGTCAATTTGTTTTGAGCACTTCAATTAATACTTATATAATAACTCAAATTATTCTTGAATTTTGATTGGTTCACGCCTATGATCTATTAGAGGACAGACGCATAGATGACGCCAATAATACACTTTCCCTAAGTTTTCAGAATTTAGATAATATTTTACGTGACTAAGCGAAATATAAGGTGCAAGAAGGTCTTCTCGAGGCTGTGAGCAACTACAAAAAGCAAGAAGAAGAAAGAAAATACAGTTTCTTTTTCTAGAAAATGACTCGAGTAGTCTCAGTCGGCAGTTGAACGAAACTATAAGCCAAACACAAAATTGGTCTTAAAATTAAGCTTACTTCAAGGTAAGAAACTATTGCTTTGTCTCGAATTTAGCAAACCCAATAAGCAAAATGTTTACGAGGTTAATTTATTTAAAAAAATCCAGTTTTTCTTTGTCTCAAAATAATTGTTGACACAGATTGATGTCAGGAATGAAACATAACAACGCCACCTCTTAAAATCAGTCAAAATAAACACATGACCTTGCTTTCCGACGCGAATGTTCAAGTCCATTTCAGGGCACATTAGCGAGCAAAGTAGAACTCACCACAGCCTACGGCCAACTTTATCGCAGCTAGAAAGTGTCTCCGACACTATATCAAACTGATCAAGCACTGAAGCGAAACAGACACAAATTTTCAGCTCCAAAAGCTACAACGTCTTCTCTGTATCGCTGTTACGTAACTAAAGTGGAGTTCCCATACCCTCTCCCCAGCTCCCAGGCTATGATTGTATATCCTAGAGAAACGTACAAGATTCTTTCACGTTTCTCTATGTCAGTAAAACGCTGAGTCAAACTCGGCAGGAAAATTCATTGACAAACGCCAGCAAAATTCCAAATAAACCTATGTGTATTTGTATCACAAGTTGCCATTTACCGCGTGTTTCACCAGAAACAACAGGTGCAGTAGAGTGCGGCAAAGTGAAGAATGTTTCAGTGCAATTTACACAGACGTCTTGTTGGATAAGCTAAATTGCGCCTAAATTCACGGTGCAATTACGAAACAAATTGAATCTTGACCGAAAAGGGCGACTATCCGCCAAAGCAAAGCTGACAATTGCTCCCACTGCGTCAAGGACGTCTTTTTAATTTAATTCAGTCTGGAAGAGGTGATACACTCAGGTATCGTATAGTTAACAAACAATGGCTTGGTAAAAAAAGGCGATATAATCAGGCTCCTCTGTGCCTTGAAGATTACAAAGAGTCGTGTTTTATCCTGTATCTTCCAAGAAAGCAACGATTATAAATCCGGATATAGTCTTGTATTAATAATTATATCCAAGTGGAGAATGGATTCTTCTGGCTCATATTACACTTCAGATATTGTTTTAAACAACAAAACGTCTTTACCCTAAAATGGAAGGTGTCTTCAAAGTAAAACTGAATATAATTGAGTTCACCTCTGACAAAACTTTGCTTGGGGCTAGCACGAGTTAACTAATCTTCCCATGCCGTGATTTATCTCTTATGTCAGTTTGTTCGAACCATTCAAGCGAATTTGACATATTTGTCAATCACCTTTACCACGACGCACGATTCAGGAGCTGTGACTGTTACGTTTATATCTTATCTTATTTGTCGCCTGACATACCGCCGGAACAATTATATAATTAAATGTGAGATTTTAAATGCACGCTAGCGATACATGTACATGCGCTCTGTTTTCTTACACAGGATCTTGCGTAGCCTACGAGGTAAGCGTTCCCGCACATAATACGAGCTTTCTCTGTATCTAGGGACTGGACGAGGTTACGTCGTCCCCTGTCTTGTTACAAAGAACCAGACGCTTTGTCAAAATTGTATTGCACGTGCAAAATTAGACAGACATAGACATGGGTCTCCACAAGCGACGCTTTGGGTAGATTGGCGTGTCAATTCAACTCATTGTTCTTTTCCTGATGTATCCTTGAGCAAGGATAGCTTGCTTCATGTGCAAAATTAAACGCGCACAACCGGTGCATGCACTATTTTCCCAAACACGTACTTGCTTCAAATGACTGTACAAGCTACCAACGAGAAAAATGATTTTGATGAAAGATTCCCATTCACCTTCACCAAGATAGGCGAAAACTAAATAGCTAGTACATTTGTCAAGGTCAACTGGCTGCTTTCAGTGTCATTTTCACAATAGTAAAATCTAAACCACTGAATAAAAGAAATCAGGAGTTTGAAGTACTAAGAAGATTAAAAGATAATCTTTTTTCGGAGTTTCAGGTCAATGTGATATTCCATACTCAAGTTATCCAAGGAAATGTAAAGAGTGCAGTATTGAAACGCCGTCTTTGTGTCCTACGAAAGGAAACAAATATTGTGGCTGGAAATCAACGAGAACAACTGAAATAAACTCTTCTTCTAATAAGTTAACTGTTTAAACTACTAAAAGTCGCAGGATAATTAGTTTTTTAACATTCATGCATGGCTGCCTTCTTGCAGCTATCGTGATGTCGTTAGCGGTGCACTGAACTCCATACAAAAATTTAAAAAACTTCTCAGGCGAAGGATGCTATTGAGTTAGCCGCAAACTTTAAGAAAATGTATTTTGAGGGCGTCTTATAGGGGAAGAAGTTAAACATTCAGTGGGCCGTACGATATTTTATAAATTTTAGAATTTTCTTTAACATAAAGATATTAGGAGCAAGGACATCATTGCTCGTCCCGCTTTTCAGCTACTTCTACCCTCTTTAAATAAAGTCTTTACTAACTTACTTACTGATGGTTTGGCACTCTCTGTATTTTGTCGGGTTTGAAAAGCTGTCGACTTCACTTTCGGTCTTGGCCCTTCTTCAGTGTGTTGAAGACTTATTGAAGATGGTCCAAGACCTGTTCACCCGTACACGCACTATTTCACACTTTGAGAATTACAGTCTACTGTAAACACTATGTTAGTTGCCGATAAGGGGGTTATGAAGTTCATCGTAGTGACCATATGCCCGTCAAGTAGCTGGGAAGAATTTCTAACATAACTTCTCAGGTGTTTGAGGAATTCATTCCGTGGCAATTATGTAACAACTTCTGACTGCCGCATGTATAGCACATTGGAGCCTAACCGAAATAGACTTGGCGAATTGATAGTATGCCCAGCTCAAAAGATTCGTCTATCATCGCTACATATTAGAGTAATTCTAGAAATGGACTGACGTTTCTTAATAAGCGTAGAGTGCTCTCTGCACTTTTGAATGGATCTTTTTCTCCAAATTGTCATAGTCTCTATTTGAGAGTCCAGCCATGAATTTTTTAAGTGTCGAGAACATGGTGATTTTGTATTAGACCGAAATGATTTGCGGAATTGCTTAACATTTCCAAGCAAACATAGAACACTCTCCAAAAGTTTGAATAACACTTTCTCTCGAAAATCTGTGAAAATTTCACACTTCAGGGCATTTATTCAAGAATGTTTTAAAATCAAGAATCAACTCTAGGTAGATAAGAAAATTAATAGTGTCAGGCACAAATTTTGAAAAATAAATAAAAGACATGTTAACAACAATTTCAAAGTTATTCACCTTCACTTGTCGTGCAAACTTTTCTTCGTCCCTCAAAAGCAAATAAGGTATCTCAGTATCTGTAGTAGCTCGTTGTGAAGAGCTCGAAAACCACTTAAGACACTTATGGCATATCGATAAAGTTAAATTGAACTTTGATCAACATTAATTGGTATGGTAATAGCGGCTTTACGTAATATTGTGCTATTCTGTCAGTTGTTGTTTCTAGTCGCTCAGCCATGTTGTATGCAGTACAATAGTTATTCTTTTCAGGTCATTAGTTTAAGAGCCTAAAGGACAATGTGGTTTCCGTTTTGTGTAACTGAACGATTACAAATTAAACAGCTATTTGTTTTCGGCTTTGTTGGTCCATTTTAT